TTGTTCATCATCACTGGTGGCATTGCACTTGGCCGCATCCTCGATCATGCTATTTGAATGCCTTCATGCTGCAGCTTCCGGCGTCGGAATGTTGACAGAAATGGTGTCGTTGGCATTTTCAGCGGCGGGAATGCTCTCGGCACTGGGATGATGCCACACATTTGACCGCCGTGCCGACGGGTACTGTCGGGGCGAGGGTTGCGGGGTATTCTTGGTGTCGTCTGGCAGCGCCGGTGAACTAGCCTTCCTTGGTTCTGCCGTGTAGTAAGATGGCTTCAGTGCGAGCCTGACTGCACCGAATGGAACGTCGCAAACATGATTAATCAAGTCAGTCCGGGACACTGGTGCTGCTGTATAGGCCCTGGAAGCGCACGGCACAGGAACGGCCCTTGGGGATCCAATTGAAGCATCGAGGGATTGCAACAACCAGAACTTTCATGAGTATTTATTCAGGTGGGCGCTGTGGCTATGGCTCTGTGTGCATCAGAGGAAAAAGCACTATGATCGGTGCAGTGCGTGTGTATGAAGTCAAATATGGGCCACTTAGAGGCGTGCGCAGCTGCTGCGGGTCTGTTGTCTCTCATACTTGTACCCCTGCGCCTGGACATAGTCCCAACAAATGCATAGATGTACTAGCAAGGCACCCACTGGCTTCGTGAATGATGTCTCAAGTAAATTTAATACCCATCCGTAGGCTGAACATGCATCTCTCGCTGTTTGTTTCCTGCGTTTGATTACCCTCTGACTCGTCGTTTAGAGGTTTCACACGAGGATCCTCAGTCGGTCGTCTTAGTTCGTTTGGGTTTAGCGGAACCATTGCGAATGGCGTGTTCTGTTTGGAACTGCTCTGATGACAACCCACAACCGAGAGGACGTGCCGCGCTCCTGGTCTTTCGATTACCCAAGTAATGAGTCATTTGTGATGTTGCGGAAGACAGATGTCGCAAAAGAATCTAGCGGCATGTGCGCCCATTTTTTCGATCCATAAGATATGCAGTGAAACAAAGCAGAGCTGCCTGCTAGGCTGTTGGAAATTAGGTCGTCTTGTGGCAGGTTAGTGAGATGGGATACCTGTGATCATTTCGATATGAGCAGAAGTGTGCCAGTAATGCTGGAGCGCTGTGGCGGAGCGCTGTGACAGCGTAGGAGTAATTCGACGTCGTGATTTGCCTCAGGCGCTGCAACGCCACTGCTGGAATGGCCGATAAAAGGGGATAAAGAAGCCATTACTAACCCTTCCGCTGGACAAGTTTCCAAAGCGTCATCATCGTCAACGCTCCTCTATGCTTATTGAAATTTACACGCTGAGTTCTTGTACAGCTGGGTCCGGGCTTCTAGGCCGGGCGATGGCAACGTTACTTGCACCTGGGCCTCGGCCTGACAGTCCTGGCTACAGGTCGGTGTTCATCTTACAAGTGCACACGTTTCAAACCAAAAAAAGGTTCTAGTATGCGCAAAATAGTTTTACCAAAGCATTCCGGCCGAGTTGACCCAGAGGCTGGAGACCTCAGCGGGACATCGCGACAATAGTGCGGTCTGTCGCTGATGAAAGTCTCGGCACAGCTCTCGATGCAGATGTTGCATTAATGTCTGCTGGCTTTGATTCTCTCGATTTAACACTGCTAGCGCAGAATCTTGCCATGTAGTTTGGGAACGGATTTTAAGTGACAACGCCCTTTGACCACCCAACAATTGCAGCGCTATCTAGCTTTGTATTAGCTATCACGTCAATGCCATCCACTTGCATATAGATCCCGCAAATTCTGTACTAGAAGAACGAAATATGCCTTCAGACAGCTCACAATCTATCGCCCTGGCCACGAGAAAGTGCAACTGCATCAATAGTCTCATCCGCTATGACCCATTGCACGGGCCGTGTAATTGATTCAGATGTCCCCTTGGTCGAGTCTGGGATAGGCCCACTTTTCCTTGCCTAATTTTTCAATGAATTGAATTGAAGTTTCAATGAAGATTTCCCAATTACTCTGCTGTTCGATAGGCCATCTCTTCGTTCTGTATCTGATTTTGTTACATGAGAGAATCAGTCTACCAGAAGGACTTCGGAGAGCTATACACCGCCCCGTTTGCACATGCTCCCAAAACTCACAGGAGCATCATCTATCTCTGTGACTTCATCTGGGACCGTGGCGATACTCACATGCAACAAGACACCCATCTAAGGAAAATCTGAGATGTGTGCCTCTAATTTTGCTGCGTCACTGTCCAAGCTGAACGATGCCGCAAATGTCCGGGCTGTTGTTGTCACTATCTTTGGTGTATTTGAGGACGCTGACAAGAGATTTCCGTGCCACCCCCTGCAACTGAATTGAATGGCCAATTTCGACTCGCTTGTAAGTTTCAGTAAGCCTCTACTCGCCACCGTGAGCGGTCGTGTTCATGGTGCTGGTGTGTCATGCATGATTCTCTGCGATGAGGCAATCGCGTCTTCGCAAACGTCTTTTTCGTTGTTTTCAGCACGTTGGCGTCTACTACCGCAAGGCTGCGCCAATATGCATCTACCCCGCTTGATTGGACCAACAGCGGCGCTGAAAATGTCTGTAGGTTACTGCGAGCTCGGTGTTGAAGAAGCAAAGGCAGCAGGGTTGGTTAGAAAGCTGGCTGTTTGAGATGGAGGATGATAATATTCATAGAATATGCTTGATAGCCTACCAACGGTAAATCCCCTTAATATAAGAAGCCTAATACGCTGCGCGTAAAATTCCCCTTGTCGGGGAATATAATTAGGCTTCTTATATTAAGGGGATTTACCGTTGTTATGGGGTGATGAAACAATACCGTTAATAGTTATGAGGATGTTCGGTTTGATTCTGTTACGGTTGCTGGTAAACGATATTATCTGACTTGCTCTATTGGTGACGGCGGTAAACATGAAACAAATATAATATCTGTATCTGGAAGCACAGCGACGATTGTTCAAAATTACGAGCATAATTCACCCATGATACTTTATTACCGTCAACGAATTCCTTATTACCTGACGATTAATAGCGACATTTCAGATACCTTGGGGATGGGCGTTGAATATGAACGGTTTGATGCTTTTTATTCATACAAGTCTCAATCGGAAATACAATCTCTTTGTGTCCAAATTGACCAGACTTTATAAAAACGAAGGTGGACACAGAAAATCTGAAAAACAGTAAATCCTTAAGCTATTCAGAATCTTCAAAATCTTCTATGTAAAAATTATCTAAAGAGTGAGGATTTCTTCCTTTAGGTAATACAACTCTTACGTCTGAGTTGATCACTAAAGCACCTGTTGAGATTGGATCACCGAGAACATGATAATGTGTCATGTTCTGTGTTTCACAACCACTGCGATCACGATTCCATTCCACCTGTGGATTTACACCCATATTAAAAGTTACAACTGAGTGGACGTTGTGGCGGCAACCCACCCAGAGTGCGATATTTCCTCCAAGTGAATGACCTTGCAATTTGAACTTTCTATCAGGAAACAACTCTAACATTTTTAAATAATGTTCTTCGGCCTCCAGATGTCTCAGAGACCAATCTTCATTGCCTGTTAGAATGTAACCATCCGCAATTAAGTCATCTATATGAGTAGGATCTGTCCCCTTATACCCTATGTGTATATCTCCTGTCTCATCATTCTCAAAAACGTGGAATTCACTATTAGAATGTTCTTCGTGTTTTGTATAACCTTCGGGCGTTGTTCCATCATAGGCTGCGGCGGATATATCAAGATGATCCTGGTGTTCTTCATCAACCTCGCTAAAGTTAGTAACCTTCTTATAATTTGTATCAAATTTTTCAATTGTATCACCGACTTTTTTGACATCAGTTCCAATACGTTGCGCCTTCTTCATGAGACTGAGGTCCCCACTTTAGTATAGGGGTCCTTCCTCCTTTTCCCAATTTCCTTTTCCCAATTTCCTTCCCTTTCTCTCTTTCTATTCTAAGACAGTATAGAGTAACCCTCTCCTGTTGGGAATCAGGGCTGCTCAGCAGCCCCATCTCACTTTTTCATTTTCAGTCTAAGTCAGGAACACTGCCATTTCCCCTCAAGGAATGTGATCATCATCCTCCTCAGCCGCCTCTGGAAATGTGGCACAAAACTGATTCCAAAACGCGTCCATGATGGCCCAAAAATCATAGGGCGGAACCGCTAGCTCCTCCTCCTCCTCATCATCATCATGCTCTCCCTGATCCACGCTGCGCCAGTTCCGCTCCACCGTTTTATAAATGAACAATGATAATATGTTGGAAGCAAGTTTACGTATAGAAGTGACACGGGAAGTTCCGGTGCAGCTTTCTGGTCCGTCAGGAAGCTCTCTAATGGAAGCCCTCCCACAGCATAATGCTGCTTCTTTGAGTTTGCGGTGCGTGTGATCTTGAGAGACATACAGTTTTAATCCAAGCTGTCTACTCAGACAGAAAGGCAGCAATACTTCTGCACGCAAATAATACCTCGCGTATCTATGCTCATCAAATCCACCAGACCACAAAACATGCAACAAATCTCTAGCTTTTAGCCAAATATCCTTCACCTCAATTTGACTTGCATAATGACGTATACATTTTTTAACGAATGCATTTTCTTCTTCATCTAGGGGCTCCTCCTCCTCCTCCTCCTTCACCTCCTCCTCCTTCACCTCCTCCTCCTCCTCCTCCTCCTCCTCCTCCTCCTCCTCCTCCTCCTCCTCCTCCTCATCATCATCCTCCTCCTCATCCTCATGCG